TATCTGTTATAATAAAAACTAACCATAAGGATAACACTTTCAGTGAGTTACTAGAAGTCATTGTAGTGAATAATCAAAGGGGTCTTTAGAACCCCCGTTTGTAGCCATCTGAGCATTAGTCCGTATGGCCCCCAAGACACCTTACTGGCATTTGAAGTGGGGTATCTTGTGTAGGACTTCATCTTCATCCTATGGGATCCAATGTTCTCCCAGATCATTAGTGACAGGATGAAACTGAGTTGTTTTGACACCCAATTGGTGTTAGAGTATTGGCATGAGGATAGCACAGGCTTTGCTTGGCACCTGGCCAAGCTAGCTTCTAAGGCCCTGCTCTGGCAGGAGCCAGTGCCTCTCAGGAAGGCAGACCGGACAAGGTATGCCTTATACGTCACATAACAAGGTTCCACTTCGTTTCAGACTTTGTAAACAGGAACACGATGAGGTCTCCATCCTTGATGACTAGTAGTGGGGAAAGTGTTGAGAGGTGCACCAGGTATCTCCTCCTGACAACATGGGTCTGCATTCACCCTCTCTGAGCCCCAAGACTGCCTACAAGCCACCGGGCTAACTTTGTTATAAGACAGAGTGTGTGTAAGCCAGAGGTCTCTGCTATTAACAGCAGCAGCTAGGTGAAAATCCCCACAGGGATGGAAGACTGCCTTAAGAATGTTGGAGCCCTTGGTCTTCCCATCTTGGTGGCCATTTTTTTATTTTTATTTTAAATTAAATCTTTATTGTTCAGATTATTACAGTTGTTCCTCTTTTTTCCCCCATAGCTCTCCTCCATCCAGTTCCCACCCCACCCTCTGCCCTTACCCCTCCCACTGTTTTCATCCACAGGTGTACGATTTTTGTCCTCTTCCTGTACCCCCACACCCCTTTCCCCCCCAATAGTCAGTCCACTCCCTTTCTATGCCCCTGGTTCTATTATATTCACCAGTTTACTCTGTTCATCAGATTTTTCATTCACTTGATTTTTAAATTCACTTGTTGATAGATACGTATTTGCTGTTCATAATTTTTAACTTTACCTTTTTCTTCTTCCTTTCTTAAAGAATACCTTTCAGCATTTCATATAATACTGGTTTGGTGGTGGTGAACTCCTTTAGCTTTTTCTTATCTGTGAAGCTCTTTATCTGATCTTCAATTCTGAATGATAGCTTTGCTGGGTAAAGTAATCTTGGTTGTAGGTTCTTGCTATTCATCACTTTGAATATTTTTTGCCACTCCCTTCTGGCCTGCATAGTTTCTGTTGAGAAATCAGCTGACAGTCGTATGGGTACTCCCTTGTAGGTAACTGACTGTCTTTCTCTTGCTGCTTTTAAGATTCTCTCTTTGTCTTTTGCTCTTGACATTTTAATTATGATGTGTCTTGGCATGGTCCTCTTTGGATTCCTTTTGCTTGGGGTTCTCTGTGCTTCCTGGACTTGGAAGTCTACTTCTTTCACCAGGTAGGGGAAGTTTTCTGTCATTATTTCTTCAAATAGGTTTTCAATATCTAGCTCTCTCTCTTCTTCTGGCACCCCTATAATTCGGATGTTGGTGTGCTTGAAGTTGTCCCAGAGGCTCCTTACACTATCTTCATATTTTTGGATTCTTTTTTCTTTTCTGGTTGAGTATTTTTTGCTTCTTTGTATTTCAAATCTTTGACTTGATTCTTGGGATCCTCTTGTCTGCTGTTGTATCTCAGTATATTATTCTTTATTTCAGTCAGTGTATGCTTAATTTCTAGTTGGTCTTTTTTCATATCCTCCAGGGTCTCACTAAATTTATCGGCGGTTTCTAGGAAATTCTTGAAAAACCTTATAACCATGGTTTTGAACTCTATATCCAGTAGTTTGCTTTCCTCCATTTCTGTCATTTGTGACCTGTTTCTTTGTCTCCGTATTTTTTATGCTTCCCTGTGTTGGTAGAGTGGCTTTGTGTGCTAGGTGTCCTATAGCTGTGCACAGTGGCTCAGCCTCCCCAATTACCTGAAGTGGACACTCTTGGTGCACCCTTTGTGGGCTTTGTGCATAGTCTTGTTATAGTTAAGCCTTGATTGTTGTAGGTATCACTGGGAGGAATTGACCTCCAGGCCAATTGGCTGTGAAAATCAGCTGTCTACAGTGGGAGAACTTCTGTGCTGAAGACACCCTTCTGGGGCAAGACTTGCTTCAGTGGGGCTTTGGTTCTCACTGAGTCTGCCCCCTGAGGGTGTCCCTTATGGATCTGAGGAGTTGTAATCTGGATGGTCCCACTCTGACCACTGGGTACACTGGCTCTTGGATCTCTAAGGAGGTGCTAATTTAGCCTCTTCCTGAGGCTACCCAGCAGGAGCTATTAAGAGATCTGCAGATTGATTCCCCTTCCTTGTTTGGGGTTTGGAGGTGCCCAGATGAGGCCCAACTGTGAAGCAATGAAAGCTGCTGTGGGGCCTTGGGCCTTCTCTTGGAAGTTCTGGTTCTGTCTGGCCCAGCTGCAGTGTGTTAGGTAATTTTCAGATTGCAAAGGGCCAGGCCTTTCATATGCAAAAGCCTCTGTGCATAGCTTGGGTGGGGCGGGGTCTCAGGGAATCAACAGGGCGGAGCAAGCAGCTATGGCTGATCCTCAGCCCTGACCTAAGAGGCCCCGCATCTCAGTGTCCCGGTAATCGCTGCAAGTACCTCTTAGAGAAAGCCGCCCTCAAGTTCTGAGTTCTGCCCACTGTCAGACAGTCCAGTTTCTCCCCTGATGAGTCTGGGTCCCCAGAGACTCACCCGGAACTGGAGTTCAGAGCAGTCGGGGGCCTGTGACTCCCTCCCTATTCAAAAAGACAGCTGCGTCCTCAGTTGCCAGCCCTTGCTGGGTGCGCCTCCGTACCTCTGGACTTTACTTTGGCAGTTCCTCTGAGTCTCAGTGTGCTTTTCTCTTTCCTTCTAGTTTTAGAAATTCCACTCAGCCAGCCTTCCTGTAGTCTGGATGATGACCGTTTTGTCTTTTAGTTGTATTTTTGAAGTTGTTGTGCGAGGTAGCAATTTCCGGTGTTTACCTATGCCGCCATCTTGGTTTCTCCCGGTGGCCATCTTTTTAAAAAATATATATTTTTATTGATTTCAAATAGGAAGGAAGAGGGAGAGATGGAAACATCAATGATGAGAATCATTGATCAGCTGCCTCCTACACACCCCCCACTGGAGATCAAGCCCACAACCCGGGCATTGGAATCCAGCCTTGATTGGAATCGAACCTGGGACTTTCAGTCCGCAGGCCGACACTCTATCCACTGAGCCAAACCAGCTAGGCCTTAGTGGCCATCTTTGCTGGAGCACCTAGTTCTGTGCAAATTTAGTGAATGCACATATGGTCAGACTTTTGGCTTTTTGAGCACAGAGGGTTAGTGAAGCCTTTATATCATGGCCAGAGTATCATCCTAATTTTTTAAAAAGCCAAGCCATTTTAGATAAATGGGATAACCAGATGGGAGACCAAGATAAATATGGTTTACCTATCCTCAGCCCCCACTCCCCCAACTGGGTGGGTCAATGTTTGCTGAAAATGCAAAGGGCTGGTAAAATTTCTGCAAGTTTATACTCTTTCTCACTCAATCTTCTTCTGGGAAAACACTTAAAAATATCCAGAAATATGCCTGGCTGGTGTAGCTCAGTGGTTGAGCGTTGACCTATGAACCAGGAGGTCAGAGTTTGATTCCTGGTCAGGGTACATGCTGGGATGCTAGCTCAATCCCCAGTGTGGGGCATGCAGGAGGCAGCCGATCAATGATTCTCTCTCATCACTGACGTTTCTATTTCTCTCTCCCTCTCTGAAATCAATAAAAAAAAAAAAATTAAAAATCTAGAAATCTCACTCTGAATTTACCTTCAGTGAGCTGGAGGCAGGTCCTGTCTCTTCTCAGAGCACACAGACACATTCAAAGGGGCTCCAGCTTAATTTGGATGGAGTAGACTTACCCTGACTCTCAGATGTGCCTTTTCTGACCAGCAACATTTTCTAGGCAAGTGTTCCAGCCCCTCCATATTTTGACAAGATGTAGCAACATAAGTTATCATCAAATCCCCTACATTACACTCTGAACTCTGCTTCTGGCAGAAAGGGAAAACCATCTTATGGGAGAAAAGTGACAGACTACCAAAAGTTTTATTTTGGGCGAAGGTTTTTTAATAACCTTTACCAACTTAGGCTCTTTGGGAGAATAAAGACCACACTCCCCAGTGGACTGTATCACTAAACATATAGCCCATTACTATTTTGTGTCCTACATTACAAAAAAGAAATGAAAAAAAAAAGTGACAGACCGATATCCAAGGCAGGCGTAGACTCATACCTTCTCACCACTGGTCACATCACTCAGCTAGGGGGAGAGGTTGGGAGAAAGGATATAGGACAATGGTGAGGTCAGGTTAACCAGCTATAGTGTGACAAGGAGTACCTCTGGTGTAGTGACTTCCTCTGTACTTTGGACAGGGGTCAGATCAGGTGAGCAGGCCATCTATCTGAGGCTTAAATGTGCCACAACACAAGGTGAAGTCTGACACCCAGAGGACTATTTTCATCCTTATACCTCAAGCTCACCTTGTCAGGCCAATCAACTATGTCAGCTGTGCAGCACATTACTTTTTAAACTACATGGAAAGTCTAACATGAATATTAATTCAGCAAGTTAATTTTTATTATGTACTTATGAGTTTTTGGAAACAATGTCCAGAGATCCAAGGAAGAGAGAGGGCAGATGCTTCTCAGATGTGGGCCTGCACTTCCATAGTAAGGTGGAGATGTAGCTTACCTGCCTGCCCATCCCCCAGGGAGGGAGTAAGTGGTCAGTTCTCCGGTGCCTGGAGGAGCAGGTAACCCCACTGGCCTCTTTGGAATGGGATGAACGGGATTTGAGCTACATCACCCTGGAGGGCTTCTGAATCCTAAGTGATTGACCTTCCAATTAGGTAGGTACTAGGTATATTGGGTCAGTGAGTGGGGGGTTCCCCACAGTATTCGGTGGGGACTCAAGACGCAGTCACATCCCCTTGGTGTTTTTTTTTTATTTAGGATCTGGTTTTACAGGTAAGACACAACAGTAAATGGGGCAATGTTCCTCCATTAGACAAATGTCTGAAGCAGATGGAGAACCATCTTCCAGCTGACAAGCCCTTGAGCAAGAGTGTATGAGGGTGGGGCAAATGCATAACCTGGCTTCTATTTGGAATTTCCTCCTCAATAGCCTTAAAGATTCACTTTCCCCTTTTTCCTGGCAGATCAATAAGAGGCAAACTATTTAGAAATTAAGAACCCCAATATTTATTTTTTGTTCAGGGTATGACCTAACAGTTTTATTGCATTTACTGCTCCTCAGGATGCAGGGATGTCTACAGTAATCAGAATTATAAAACCTGTGGCTCTTCCATTGGGTTTGATGGCATCTCATGTGACAACATAGGTGACAAGGAGCCTGGCTGCCTGCTGATGGACATACAAATAGCACAAAATGTCCACCTGGTGGCTTTGAATCAGCTACTGCTACTCCATAGTCCCTGTGCTTTCTTGACATTGAGCCTGGCCGATATTACCAGTCTTCCAGGAACAATAAGACCATGGTTTTCGTTGCTTGAGATTTCACAGCCAATGGTCACTCCCAATCCAGAACTCCAGGCCACGCACTTTCAAAGCTATGCTGCTTCCAGTGGAACGGACAACAAGCCAACCACAGCTTCTGTTGACTCATCTGTTAATCAGGGATGACCAGATAATTGCAAGACTATCTGCTGTTGTGGATTGAATTGTCTCCCCACCACCCCAAATTCATATTTATGTCCTAACTCCAATACATCAGAATGTGGCCTTTCTTAGAATATGGTCATTGTGGATGTTACTAGTTAAGACAGGAATATACCAGAGTAGGCATGGGGGCCCTGATCCAATATGGTGTCCTCATAAAAAGGGGAAATTTGGAGACAGACATGTACACAGGGACACGACATGAAGATGAAGGCAGAGATGGGTTAATATTTCTACAAGGAACATCATCGACTGAGAGCACCACCAGAACCTGGGGGAGAGGTGTGGAACAGACCTTCTCTTACAGGGAACCAACCCAGTGACCCCTTGACATTGGACTTCCAGCCTCCAGAACTGAAGCAATATATTTCTGTTGCTCTAAGTCACCCTGTTTTTGGTATTTTGTTAAGGCAGCCCTAGCAAATGAATATGAACAGCAGACTAAGTTACTATGTATGAAGAGCCCAACCTCACAGGAGGTTTATTCCACTGCCCCTCATCCAGACAACAGAACCCCCCACTGGGGCTGAGCTCCCCATTCCCGAACACAATGGGACGAGCAGGGGAACTTAAGTGCCTTTTGAATGATGACAACTGCTTCTACCCCACAACCATTTACTGGGTCCTTCAGGTACAAAAAAATGACATTTGAGCAGGGTGTGCAACAAATAAAATGTGGGCATTGCCCTCAGTGAACTCAAAATCCCTAATAAGCAGCTGCCTTCGCAAATAAAAGTATGACACAATTCTCCTTCGCAAGCAGCTGTACAGTGCCCCAGAGGCTTCTGACCCTGACAGGGCTGCCTGGTAACAGCGGGTGTTCTTTGGGTCAGCTGGTGACAGGGCAGGATTGGTGTGCCTGGCCTTGCTGCCCACATGCACTCCCTGCCTTTTTCTCGCCCACAGCTTCTTGCTCTCAGATGGGAAGTACAGTCACCCTAGAACCTCAAGATACGGGCAGGGGTTCAGACAAGGCAGCATGGGAGTATAGTGAGTTGGTGGCAAGGGGCAAACCCCAAATGGTCACTGCAGTTGGGGCAGTCCAGTCCCTTAGACCGCTTGGGAAGCACTGGACAGGAGGGCTCTCCTCTGACCCAGAAACACCTGGCGAGTCCAAGCTGGTTATGCACCTCCCTCCCTGCTTTTTGGCACAGCAGAGACAAAAGAAATGCTCAGTTGATCACTATCTCATTTCTACCTGAGAGCGAAGGGTGGGAAGGTGAGGTCTGTCCAGGGGCAGGTACGTCCCGGGAGTGCCTGGCGTCAGTCAGTAAGAGTTGAGAGCCTGCTTGGAGCGGCGTTTCATATGCAGGCGCTGGTGGCGCAGGAGGTCGGAGTTGTGCAGGAAGCTTTTGACGCAGTACCGGCACCGAAAGGGCCGTGCCCGGTCCTTACCGTGCACACTGCTGCGGTGCCTCGCCAGGTGTTCCGGTCGCTGGAACAGCTTCCCGCAGTCACAGCACTGGATGCTCAGCCGGGCCCGGCCCTCAGCCAGCGATGCATCAGGCCCCCCACCTGTGGACTCTGCCGCCCCCTGCTCGCTCCCAATCACCGGCAGGGGCCCGGTGGGCGGCAGGTGGACCCGCCTGTGGCAGAGCAGGTGCGAGTTGAGGCGGAAGCTCTTCCCGCAGGCGCCGCACCGGAAAGGTTTCCGGGCCTCGTGGGCTTCCAGGTGCCCGTCCAGGTCCTCGCTGTCACTGAACAGCTCCCCACATACCGAGCACTCGTGCAGCTTCTCCTGCTCCCTGCGGCTGCGCAGGTGTCGGATGAAATTGACCCTCCAGCGGAAGACCTTGCCGCAGTTGGGGCACACATAGGACTTCCCAGAGGTGTGCACCTCGCCCCCCACAGACAGGCCATTCTGCTGAGGCATGGGGGTGCCGTTTTGCTTCCCCAAGGGGCTCCGTGTCTCATTTGTGCAGTAGGGGCCCAGTTGGGAGTCTTCATCCCCAGAGCTGGATAGGACGATCTCGATGGTCACCTCTTCATCTAGGCTGTTCTTAGGGGGCGGTGGGTCATCTCCAGCTGCACAAAAGCAATGTGGAAGTCACTTAGAGTTGCTGATGGAATAGGTATGACATTGGGGGCTATGGGGAAAGGCGGAATGTATTTTGAATGTGAGGACATGAACTTAGGGGATCCGAGGGTGGAGTGCTAAGGGCAGAACTGCATCCCCCCAAAATTCCTATTATGCTTAAGTCATAACCCCAAATACCTCAGGATGTGACTATATTTGGAATTAAGGTCTTTCAAGAGTTAAGTTAAAATGAGATTATTAGAGTGGCTTGTAAGCCAACTGGCATCCTTCCAAGAAGATATTAAGAAACAGACACGTGGAATCTCAGGGAGAAGACAGCCGGCCAAGAAGACTTGCTGCAGGAGAAGTCCCTTTTGATACCTGGACCTCAGACCTCCAGCATTTTGAGAAAATCAATTTCTGTTGTTTGAGCCTCCTTAGAAGACTAATACAGTGCATACAGGATGACAACCCCTCAAATCAGCTAAAATGACAAAAAATAAATGCAATTTCTAAAATGGGGCATAAACAACCCTTAGTGCTCCTGTGGGCCATTTACACAATGTTAGGAATTATTGCTAGATGAGGTGGGATTCAGCAGTGAGCTCCAAACACCAGAGAAACAGTAAAATCAGGGAGTGATGAGTATAGAAGGGGGTGTGTGGGGGGACACAAACACTGAACCCCATGATAGGTACTCTTGATGTTTTCACTCTGCCCCTGGGGCTCCTGAACAGAAGTCGCTGACCCGGGGTGCACCGTGACAGGCTATGGGTGTCAGACTGAGGATCTGAATGTGAGCTGTCAAGCCCCAGGTTCGGGCTTGACTCCACATTGCCTAGCCATAGCCTGCCTTTTCTATGAAGTCAAAATTATGGGTCTGAATCTGTTGCATCTTATTTGCACATAATCCCTCCCATTTTTTTCTTTCTTTTTTTTTAAAAATTTTATGTATATTGTTTCGGCACATTTGTTTTTCACAGTTTTAAAATGCAACACATTTATTCATCTCCTTTTTGGTTTTGTCTTATAAGAAAGCTTCCCCATCCTAACATTGTAAGAATATATCCTTTATAATGCCTTTGTCTTTTGTTTTTCACATCTGGCTTCCTAGCCTCCCTGCTTTTCTCCTCAGTCCCTCCAGCTCACAGGGAACCACCCATCATCCACCCCCAGGCCACGCACAGCATGGCCACAGGCTTCAGTATCCCCAACCCCCGACTGAGCTCAATTCCCCTGACACGTTGGGCAACTTTCTTTCTCTTTTAAATTTTTTTCTGTAAAACAGAGCTAGGAATCAGAACTGCCTTTTGGGGTTACTGTTGAAGATTACAAATGATTTAATACATATGCAGGCACCCACCCTGTATATCATGAGGCTGCTATGGGCAGGCAGAGGCCAGAGAAGGCCGGAAGTGCACATGTGGCAACAAGCATTCATCTAGCCCCACTGAGATGGCCACCCTCATCCTGGGGAGGGGCCATCCTCAGTTATGCAAGGCCACTCTCAGCCTGTTGCAGGCACCTGAGAAAACCAGGAGTGAGGGAGCTCAAAGTTTTGGGGAAGGGGCTATTCTCCTTCTGGATCTGTTGTAAATGTAGAATTCCTTTTGTCTACACGTGACGGGGTGAACAGAAATAGCAGGGAGCCCTGCACAGAGCTAGGTGGAATTACCACAATGCCAGACAACTCTTTTTTTTTTTTCCTGAATCTTGGCTTCACCCCAGAATCACTGGAGAATTCTTTTTTTATTTTTTAAATTATTTATTGTTGAAAGTATTATGTCCCCCTTTGACCCTCTCCAACCCGCCCCCCCCCCGCCCCACACACACAGGTCTTCAGCACCCTACTGTTTGTGTTATGCATATATATGCATACAAGATCTTTGGTTGATTACCTCCCACTCACCCACTCTCCCCCACCTTCCCTCTGAGATTCCACACTCTGTCCCATGCTTCCATGTCTCTGGATCCACTCTGTTCATCAGTTTCTTTTGTTAATTACATTCCATATATGAGTGAGATCATGTGATACTTGTCTTTCTCTTATTTCACTTAGCATGATATTCTCCAGGTCCCTCCATGCTGTCTCAAAGGGTAAAAGATTCTTCTTTTTTACTGCTGCATAGCATTCCATGGTATAAATGTACCACAACTTTTTTATCCACTCATCTACTGATGGGCACTTGGGCTATTTCCAGATCTTAGCTATTGTAAATTGTGCTGCTATGAACATAGGGGATGCATACATTCTTTGCCAGACAACTCTTGCTCCAAAAGGCATCTTGGGTAAAAGACTGTACATGAGTCAGACCTCACAGCTGTGGAAAGTCTCATCACACAGTGGGTTTGAGTATGAACCAGAGACTAATATAATACTGTATGTCAACTGGAATTTAAAAAAAGAACCAGTGACTCAGGTTTGGTGTCTGGAAGAACACCTTAACCCCAAGGACATTAAAGATGGCCACACTGCCCGCTGGTGTGGCTCAGTGGTTGAGCATCAGCCCATGAACCAAGAGGTCACTGGTTTGATTCCTGGTCAGGGCACATGCCTGGGTTTGTGGGTTCGATCCCCAGAATCAGGTGTGTAGGAGGCGGCCTATTGATGTTCCTATCTCTCTATCCCTCGCACTTAAAATATTCCTCTTTCTCTAAAGATCAATAAAAACATATTTTTAAAAAAATGATGGCCACATTTCAGTCTTTGCCTCTGGACTTTTACCAACATGACCCTATGAGGCAGGTGGAGGACACTCAGAGTCCCTTTCGCAGGCATGCCACACTCCTGCTCTTTAGGTCCAAGACTTTGCCCAGGACTCTGGCTTTTGTGCTCAGGGAAGAAACATACCCCTAATGGCCAGTAGCACTGTGGTGCACCTGCTTCAACCTGCCAGGACAAGGCCAGGAGGGGAGGGTCTTGGGTTGGAGCTCAGCTGGGAGAGACCCTAGCAAAAGGGAACCCAGCACAATAAGCTGACAACTCACAGGAGCCGTCGGTCAGCAAGGACCTCAGAGAGTTCAATCCCTGACCGCACCCACACCAGCAAACGTGCATGCATACACCATACACGTTCACACTTCCACACACAACATACCAGACGCTATACACACACAACATGCACATGTACAAACCACACAGCAGATACCACATGTACTCATATGCTCACATATGTATCACACACCCCATACCCTCTCAGGCCCTCTTTACCTGGGCAGGTGCTCTGAGCAAGTGTCGTCTGCTCGCAGGCCTGGGACTCTGGTCCCTGTAGCTCATCCTGTTTTCCTCTTTCTTCGACCTGGAATGGCTGGAGACTTGGAAAGTCTTTCCAGAGAAGAAAATAGAAAGGTGGATTTGTGGTGCAGCTGTGGCACTACCTGGGGAGGCATCTTAACAGATGCCAGGCTGTGATCCAAGGGCAGCTCTGAGCTCCCTTCTTGGGCAGCGACTCAGTCAATGTTTGTGGAGCAAATTAATTTGCAGGCAAAAAGATTCTGAAGCTATATGGAGTAAGCATGAGTCCTGGATCTGCCTGTCGACTTGCCTGTGAAGAAGTGACTGCCACCCTTATGGTGATTTTCACTTCTGTGGTGGGATTTCCACAGGCCCCAGGACCCCTCGCAGATCCTGCCTCAACACAGTCTGCACAGAGCCTGCTGGGCTGACAGGACAGGGAGCTGGCCACCCCGAGGCCCTGCATGCTCGTCCAGGTGGGAATGAAGACCCACACTTGACTGTACTGTGCCAGCTCTAGGTCCTGAAGGGGAAGGAGTGGGGGCTGCTGTTGGAACCATACAAAGCCTTTTGTCCTGAAGGAGCAGGGTCTCAGGCATTATGGCAAATGGTTAACAACTTACACAGAAAGCCCAGATAGGGGGACTGGGAAATGCTGTTGCCAATGCTGTGCTGTTGTCAGCCAAGCCCCAGCACCCCGTGCCTTGGTTTCCTCACACTCGCAGCATGTGGTGGAAGGACTAGAGAACGAGACACCTGGAGGTCCTGCACTAGTGCTCCTTCTCTACCTAACCTATGGAGAATGTGACCTCACCTGTGGGTGGGCTGCTGGCTTGCCAGCAGAGCCCAGGTGCTGTTTATAGCAGAGAAGGATGTTCCCACTGTGTCCTAGTCCCTGGTTGATGAGTGTGATCCCACACCCACAAAAAAATATACCTACATTTTTTCTGGGAAAAGTCATGGAGGAGGCAAAACATGCTCTACTGAGACAGAGCCTGGGGTTACAGAAGGCTGCAGAGAGATGGCAGGGAGTGGCCCACCTCTGGCCAGCACCACCTACCACCCTACTCTGTCCACCCAGTGGTGGAATCATGACTCACCCAAGTAGGAGACCTGGGTAGCACCCTTGCCCTGGAGGTCCTGCAGCTCGGGAACACATGGCTCGTTCTCCTCACCCTGGGAGAGGTCCTGCTGGGCTGCTGGGTCACCTGTTCACAGAAAAGGGGAGGACACACATTCCTCAGTGAACTGGAGGGACGCAGGCCAAGCCATGGCAGTGACAGGGTGACGCAGGGCTTCAGAGAAACTGAAAAGCTTGAGCAAGCAGAGAGGGCGGGGAGGGGCATACTAGTGGGGGAGCTATGGGCTTGGGGCAGCTGTTGGCCCATGAGATAGAAAGCCAGAACTTCAGAGGCCATAGGATCAGAATAACAGAAGAAAAGTGGGGGCACAGGAACCTGTTATGTTTGGTTTCAAATGCAAAACAGCCAGTAAGCCTAATTTATATGTGATAGTGGCAGGTGAGGATCCTCTAAGTGCCCTCAGTGTCGCTGTGTGCAGGTGACCTCATGTCAGGGATGGAGGGTGGTCGGCAAATTCAGATGTGGGCCCCCAGCTCCCTGGTCTCAGGAGAGGGTTGGAAGGGCGTCTTACTTGGAGGCAGCGAAACCCCACAGTCCTCTCCAATGATGAACTCCCCGTAGAAGCCAGTCTGGGCAGGGTCTAGAAGGGACCAGTCCTCTTCCGAGAAACAGAAGATCATGTCCTCGAAAGGAGAAACCCGTTTCTGAAACTGCAGAACAACAGGGATGCCTCAGTCCAAGGACAAGCTAGGGAAGGGTCGCTGCAAACAAGGGAAAGAGCTGAGGCTGAGGGCACACACCTCCACTGTGTGTGCACGGGAGAGAGCAGAAAGCTGCTCTCCAGCCCTCGCCTGGGATCCACCTCCTTCCTATCTGGTTTGGCCAAATGCAAACCATGGTGACTCTAGTGGCCAAGATTGTGGGCAGGGCACACAGTCCCATGCAGCTAATGAAGGCCGAGACAACACCAGGCTCAGCCCAGCAAATGCCACGCCATTTCTAGAGTTTATTTTGCACATATGCAGTGTTAGGTCTGGATCAGCCTAGTCACAGCAGCACTGATAATCACAGATACTATATTATCAATACATTTTGATCATAGATAATAAAGACTGAAGATGCTGTTTATAGCAGAGAAGAATGTTCCCACTGATGGGCTCTCTGCCCATCACCAGAGCATGGATTAACTCCAGGACAGTCTGGCAGGTTCAAGCAAACTCCCATTAGGAGCGAGAGTCCTCTCTGCATGACCAGAAAGCTCTCCAAGCTGTGTGTCACATGATCTAGACTACTCAACGACAAAATGTCCAGAAGTCTGGATCACCAGCAGTTTAGCAGTGGGACCTGGGGTAAGGCATGGCTGGGAGACTTCGCTTAAACTTGAATCACAGACCATGGTAATATGTCAAATTAATATTAATTAATTAATTAAAAAATCTTTCTATGGAGAGTTTTTTTTTAATTGAGAAACTTAAGACTTGGATACATCAAATAAAACCAATTTCGGGGGGGGGGGGGGGAGGATCAAAACTCACAACAGGGAAAAAAAAAGTTAACACTGCCTGAGCTGTAGCAGAACCCAGAGAATACATTCTTTTAACTAAAAAATTCTAGGTGCTTCATAATCGACCTTTTGGTACTAAACGACCTATTATATTTGCAATTTGTGGTTCTTAGTGTTCAGGTCCATAGGGCAAGCTAGGAAATCTTCAAACCTTGAGCTGAATTTCATGACGGGGTATTTGGCTTCTGAACCGTTTTTTCCTTGCCTAAGAGGTAGCAGCAGCAACAATGCCCACCTGGGCAGCTTCTTTCTTGGCATGATGAGCCTGTAGAACTGCCACAGCTTCGTCCAGCTCAGAGCAGAGAGACTTGGGGAACTCCAGGATGTGCAGCAGCTCAGAGTTGTTGATCATTCCCATCATCTTTCCAGCCAGGTTCGAATGCATGGTTTGGATGAGAATGAACAAACGTTCGTCCAGCATCTGCTTCTGCTCCTGGAGGGGTGGGGGTTAGGGGGGTGCTGCGGCCAACATGGAGGCGGTCAGGGGCTCCTGCCCCTGCACATGGGCCACAGGCTGAGGTGCCTGCAGAGGTGGTATGGCAGGGAGAGGGCTGCAGACACTGGAGGCATACTTGTAAGGTGCAACAGACCGAGGAGCAGCTGCAGCCACAGCGGTGCGAGGTGCTAAGTTCTGCACAGCTGTGGGAACACCTCCAGACCGGCAGCTGTCAGTCAGCCCTTGCTGGGTGGCACCAGCCCCACCAAAGTCCATAGCCAAGCGGTCTGGGCACTCAGACCCGACTCTCTGAGTAGTAGTAGGGAGGCCAGGAGAGGCCGGATCATTACTAGTTGGAGCCAGATAGCGAAGAGTTGGACGAGGCTCAGACTGGTGTACAGCACTTGGCATTCCTTGGAAGCCTTGCTGCCAGCATGGACTAGGTCACATCTGTGCTAACTGGTTAGGTGTGTAATATGGAGGCCTTCTCTGAGCCTGTGGAACTGCTGGCATGAAGTAGCCACCAGCTGTAGGCTGGAACTGATTTAAGATGGCATTAGCAGGGAGTGCTCTCATTCCGGCCACCCTCCGCATATACAGTGGCTTGGAACCCATGATGCATCCATTCATCACAGTGACTGCTTTGGTGGCCTCTTCAGGAGATGAGAAGCCAACAAAGCCAAACCCCTTGCTTCTCCCATCCTCCAGCATTACCTTAGAGCTGGTGATGGATCCGAAAGGAGAAAACTTTCCATAACTTCTCATCGGCAATGGTGTTATCCAAGTTCTTAATGTAGAGATTCACCCCTGGTATCGACTAATTCTCTCTTGCTTCAGCTGTTCAAATTTCTGTTTTAACTTGGCCTGCCATTCCACTTTTTTCTGTGCACAGCCTACAAAAATGACTTTCCCACTGATTTCTTTTCCATTCATCTCTTCACAGCCATATTGGCATCCTCGTGTGTGTACACTTTTTAAATATATTTTTATTGACTTCAGAGAGGAAGGGGAGAGGAGAGAGAGAAACATTAATGATGAAAAAGAATCATTGATCAGCTGCCTCCTGCGCCCACTGGGGATTGAGCCTGCAACCTGAGCATGTACCCTTTACCGGAATCAAACCTGGACCCTTTAGTCCGTAGGCTGACACTCTATCCACTGAACCAAACCAGCTAGAGCTATCCTCATGTTTTTTTAACTCACAAAGCCAAAGTCTTTGGATTTCCCATCACCTTGACACTTAAGGTCTTACCAAACTGGCTGAACAGCTCTTTCAGAATCATCCACCTCTTCCCCAAAGTTTTTGATATACATATTAGTCAACTCCTTGGCTTTGGCCCCAAGTCCGGCTTCCCATTCTTTCTGAGACTTGAATCTGCCCACAAACACTTTGTGGTCATTGAGGAACATGCCGTTCATCTTCTCGACGGCCTTCTCTGCAGCCTCTTGGGTCTCGAAGAGAACGAAAGCATAACCCTTAGAGCCGTTCTTGTCACACACCACCTTGCAGGTCACAATGTTCCCCAAAGCAGAAAAAGTACCATAAAGTGCCTTGTTATCTATAGATTTTTCCAGGTTCTTGATGAAGACGTTTCCCACACCAGCTTTTCTCAAAGAGGGATCCCTTTGAGATCACATGATTCGGATTGGCTTTCCCTTAATCACATCAAAGTTCACAGTATCCAAGGCCCGCTCAGCGCCAGCCAGCTGCTGGAAGTTGGCGAAGGCATAACTCAGCGAGCAGCAGGTGATCCCATTGTGGCAGACCCGGGTGGAAGCCAGGCCCCACAGGGCTGAACTCCGCCCCCCCCACATTGACCTCCCCCCGGCCTCCCCTACCCCCTGGCACTTGTCCTTGTCCCCTCGAACCTAAGTGTCTTGCGTCTGTTGGTTGTGCTTATATGCATGCATACAAGTCCTTTGGTTGATCTCTTACTCCCATCCCCCCAGCCCTCCCCTACCTTCCCGCTGTAGCTTGACAGTCTGTTCGATGCTTCTTTGCCTGTCTATTTTTGTTCAAGAGTTTGTAATGTTCTTTATTATCCATAAATGAGTGAGATCACGTGGGCTTAACTTTTCATACAGCATGGCCTCAGTGACATCCCTGTGCAAGTTACCCACATACAGGGAGGCCATGGGGTAGCTGCTGGTGGCAGCATTCATCTCCTCAGCCCTCAGGACCCCAAGCCCTGCCAGGACTTCTTACAGGGCCCACAAAGGATAAAAGGGGTTCTTCCCCAAGCAGCGCGCAACTGGCTCACAGGTGGCAGAGCAGGAGGGACCCAGAAGTTTGGGGTGGCTCACTCGAGACTATAGGACCGCAGACAAAAGGCTCTCAAAAACAATATGGCTCTCCCTGGGAGCTTGTAATTTTCAGCTCCAAATTTCCAAAATAAATGTATTAAAATGGGGACTTTCCTCCAAGTTACAAAAATTCTTAAAGGGCCAGCCGAACGGTGCCCACGCAGCCTCTGGGATATGTGTTTCTCTTTAAATATAGGCCCCGGGCTGCTGACACTATAAGATTACAGCTGCAGAAGAGGGATGCAAAATATTTGTCAGTTTGCAAGCCTGGGGGGCCGAGCGCGCAGCTGCCTTCACACGGGCTACCATGGGCAGCGCGGACACGTGGTGCTCAGGGAGGACAGTGTGGGGCTGCCACGAGGCTGGGGTGTGGACACGCGTCGCCCAGGTGCAGTGGAGGCGGCAGGCAGGCCAGAAGCGTGCAAAAGTGACTTCCCTGTAGGTTCGAAGAGGATTCACTTTTTCTTTCTCTCTTTTTTTTTCCTTTTCCAGATTTTAAAGCGTTTTCGAGGTTTTTTTGGTTTTGTTTTTTTAATTTTTTCTTTTTTCCTTCAGGCTACTGAGCCCAAAAGCAGCAGAGACTGTGGCAACCCAGGGCGGAGAGCTTAAAATATATTTTTATTTCAGAGAGGAAGGAAGAGGGAGAGAGAGGTAGAAACATCAATGATGAGAGAGAATCATCGATCAGCTACCTCCTGCATGCCACCTACTGGGGATCGAGCCCACAACCTGGGCATTTGCCCTTGACCAGAACCGAATCTGGGACCCTTCAGTCCACATGCCAATGCTCTATCCACTGAGCCAAACCAGCTAGGGCAAATTAATTTTAAAAATGGTGACATATCCATATTATATGAAAAGGCCATAAAAATAAAGAAGTCCTTTACAAAATGGAAATAGATATTTGCCCATTGAAGCATGAAGTTATTTGGGTCTCAAACTTCCTATAAATATTAATATGACAATAAATTGATAACAATAAATGTCACTAAAAAATTATTCACTTTGTTTGAAATAATCTGGAACCTTGATTATTTGAAAGAACATGGAGAACATGCAGAACACCTGGTCTAGCTGACATTTCTGTTCATACTGTCTAATCCGAGAAGAGCAAACACACAGCATATCTCCACTAAGTATGTCACACTGTACGTGTATATATGGTTGCAGGAACTGCGTGCATGTACATTCACTAGATATTGGCAGGTGTGAATGAAGCAAAATTATACCTATTTTTTTGGTCAGATTGACAAAAAATGTGTTCCATGAAATGAGAAAGGCTAAAAATTGTGGCTCTAGATCAGTGGTTCTCAACCTTCCTAATACCGCGACCCTTTAATACAGTTCCTCATGTTGTGGTGACCCCCAATTTCACTGTTACAAATTGAACAAAATTAAAGCATAGT